GATGGAGTATATATTCTAAGAGAAAAAAAGCAGCACGTTTCTTTTTCAAAAAGTCTCTTTTCAACAATTCATACTCTCAAAATGTCTGGCCTATAGGGAAAGAATTCCCAGCTAATAATAATGTGTTGAGTACTTCTGCACCCCAGCACTGGTCTGCAAGATTTAAGAATAGGCATAAAGCAGGACCCTTGCCCAGAAGCATTTTAAAATCTATTGGACATACAAGATCAGCATATAACATTCAGACTCATGAGAGTCAGGAGTTCGGAATAAGGAAGGGCTTTCAGAAAGCTGATGGTTTAATGGAAAAATGAAAGCATTATGAGACACCACCTGGACAGGTTAGATTTATAAAGGAAAAACATGGCAGACATTTCTGATCTGGTGAAGATGTTCAGGGTGTGTAGGAGGAAGGAGAGGTGATGGAGCAGCAGGAGGAAACAGAGATGCAGAGAAACATGCTGAGTAAATGGATGAGTGGAGGCACTGCAGGTGGAATTCAGGTCTCCAACCCTAAACAATGAACTCTTATACCATTCATTCTGCTCTTCCTAACTGGTCTTCCTGCCTCCATTCTGGCACCCCTGTCCAAGAAAGTCTCCACTATATTAAGTTTCTTTCTAACACACAATTCTGATCAGCTCAGTCTCCTCAAATCCCTTCAGTGACTTACTATGGCTTTCAGAAAGAAGTGGAAACTGCAACATGGCATACAAACATCCATCAAGACCTGGACTCAATCTCTTTTCTAACAGGTCCATCATATGTAACTTTTGTTTCAGCCACTAACATCAACCCACAGCTCCTTTACTGGGCATGCTACCACATCTCTCTACCTTTGTATACATTGTTCTTTCACCCTTAAATGCCTTTCTCTCCCCTTCACCAATTAATGCCTTATTCTTCAAGCCTTGGTGCAAATACCACCTACTATGGTAATCCTTTTCTTCCCACACTCAAGCATCCAATTTGAGTCAGACACCTCTCCATGTTTCTATTAATCAACCTCCTCTACGTATTTCCATTGTTCCTTATCACACAGCTCTGTAATTGTTAATTAACTTCCTTGTCTCCCTCACTAGACAATGGCATCTTTGTATCACCAACCTTCAGAATAATGCCTAGCATGTAGTAAGTGCTCAGTAAGTCTTTGTGGCATACAGGAACCCACTATGCTCACCTTTATCAATTAAAATCAAAACATGATGAAACCAATTAAAAACAAATAACCAAATACTCAGAAAGTTATATAAGAAACAGAATATTAATTTCTGTTACTTCAAGTTACTAATGCGACTATACTATCTAAACAACCAAAGGCTTTAGGAATTATACAGAAACACAAAGTCAAAATGCAAAAATGTCAAAGAATGCTACGCCACTCTACCCCATGTTATGTATGTGAGGGGGGCTGGTTCTACCTCTAACACTGTGTGCCTAGTCCCATCTGGCTCTTTGGATTATAGCCCTCCAGTTCCTCTGTTCATGGGATTTTCCAGGCAAGAATACTGGAATGGGTTGACATTTCCTTCTCCAGGGGAATCTTCCTGACCTATGGATCGAACCCAGGGCTCCTGCATCTCCAGCATTGGCAGGCAGATTCTTTACCCGCTGAGCCATCAGGAAAGCCTGCCTCTAACACTAGCCTCTCTTAATGGTTAAATCACTGCCTGAAATATGTGTAATTCAGGATGTCTCCTTCATGACACTTTCAGAGTGTTCTGAACTACTTGAGTTGACAAAATACATTCCATGGTTGACATCAAATTACTAATTAATTAAGATTCATGTTGTTTGATGACATGCTACAATCTGGGCCTAACCAGACGGTTTATATAAAATACAAAGCTCTACTACTAAGGCATTATTCAAATTGTGATGAGTCCAAAACAAGGTTGCCTTCATTAAAAAGAACCCCAAAAAAGGGTCATTATGAGGCTGTATATATGAAGAAAATGGAAGTAAGCTTTATTAAACTGATTTAACTAATGTCATGCAGAAGTCATTAAAAGTCCTCAAATGTTGCTCTGAAAACTTCTCACTAATACCCATCCAAAGGTTAAAGGATATAAATAAAAGTCTCTATAGAAAACATGCCTTCCTTCTCCAGTTTCCCAGAACAATGAGAAACTAAATGAAAACAACTGAATCACAACCCTTATACTGTATGAATCCACTATACCATAGCTATGGAGTTAAATTTTCTACGTGGTAGAAACTTTCATTATAGCTAATACTATATAGATGTTTGTAATTAACTGTTTACTGCCAGATGAACTATCTTCAATACCAACCACTCATGTAGTCAGTGTTATTTCCCTTCTCCCTCGTCAATGACCTCCTCCTCTTCCCAGTTTCTTCAAGTGGAATCAACTCGTAATTTCCTTTACTCTCTGGTAACCCAACAGTTTTCATTCTTCTATAGGAAACACATGCCTTTAAGGAACTGATGAAAACTAAGGGGCCCAGAAAAATAAATGTATCTACATACACTCAAACTTTTTCATATGATTTCAGTTTAAGAACCCATATCCCCCATAATCACCTACACAAATAATTTCTATTACTATCTGGTGCTCTCTTACAACCTCCCACAACACCTTACACACACACACACATGAACACAATTAAGGACTACTACAGTGATTAACAACATAATACTCAAAATAACAAAATTTAGTCTAGGTAATGCTTTACCAACAATATTTTAAGAATCCCAGATGAACTCCTCTCTAGAAGGCCTTAGAACATGTTGAGCACTTCAATAAGACAACTCAAAATAAGGAGAAAGGCATTCATTTTACAAGTTTACCAAGTCTTATTATTTGGTCAACTTTCCTGCATTAAAATGAACTGAAATGTCGTCCTAAATATGTGTTTATGAAGTCTTACATATCTGCTTGTAAAATCATGTAAGGCTCCAAAGCTATTTTGAGTACAAAAGAAAGTTCCCATTGATATTGGCGAACTCTTGGGTTCAAATACTTGTTCTAATGTATTAAGCTATGTTCAACACGGAATAGTGTTAGCTAGGAACTGAAAGTGATACCATCTCATAACTATCTAGTTACCTTGTCAAAGCATAAAAGATGAAACAGAACAAATGACCAAAGGGAAGGGAAGAATAGAATCAAGGTGTTATTACTAACAGACAGAGATAAGTGCTTTTTCTGAACTCATACATCCCAAAAGTGGAAGGCTCTTGCTGGATATACCAAACTTTGTGGAAACTATCAGTTCACTTTTATTTTTGCTTAAACTTTTAATCACTGTTTAAGCCAGTTCTGTATTGGGTCCAAAAAAAGAAAGAAGAGACATGATCACTCTTTTACTGCAAAATGATAAATTTCAAAAATTACACCAGGATTTTTATACATTAAACTTGGTGATAGAAACAAAACTTTTCTAAGTTTTGTAATAGAAGCACCCATTAAACCTCTGGCAGGGCAGATAATTCACAAAGAGCTTGTGACTCAGTTTCTCCATTTGTAAATACTAGAGGGTAGAGTGGTAACAGGACACATCAAGTTACGGTCAGTCTGCCTCAAGTTAAGGTGGAACTGATGAGACCTTACACTAGTTGTTTTATTATACCCTGCTAGGTCCCTTTCCATATAATAGAAGGTTGCAAATTTCCTGTAAAGATAACACTTCGATCACCATTTTCCAATCTGGACAGTCCATAATTGAAAGGCAAACAGGGGGCAAGAGAGAAGCACAACAGGTATCAATACGTACTAAATGGCCAGATGGCCTAAGAAAAGTCTTTAGTTATAAGGTCACTGCCTCCTTCCTTATAACCCAGTTGCTGGTTAAAACTGAAAAGCAAATATACAACATGTGGCTTTTGTGCTCCCGACAAATAGAGAACTTTCGGACAGGAGGAGTATTTGCTGAATTTAAGCTGGAAAACCATGTCCCCTCTGCCATCCGAATTACAAAGTTTATTGATAAACGTCTGCCTAATATTTGCCAGGGCTGACAAAAGCAGTCTTTAGCCAATACACTGTATGAATTTGACAAGTTTTGAAGTTTCACTATTATACCGTTTTTCTATAAACTGAAGGCGAAAAAGGAGGAAGCTTTTTAACTGATGAGTTGAAGAAACCCCAGTATGTCCCAATCTAATACCAGGCCCCATAGATTTCATTCCTCTGCACATGAAGTCAGTGGCAGGAAATGGACTGCCTGCTCTCGCTAGTTCAGTCTCAAGACGGGGAGATTTGTGCAGTCGGTCTACTGCTTTTGAGCGTCCTCAATCAACTAAGTGGAAGTCCTGGACGACTGACGATCGCACACACAACAGTTGGTGGTACCTCCTCCAGCCTCCAACTCCCACGCTCCCCCCGACTCTTAAAGAAATGTTTCTTGGACGAGCACATGGAGAGGCAAGGGGGGGGGGGGGGGGGGGAGAACACGTAGGCGCCTCTTCCTTAGATATCTGGTCAAGTAGAAAAGACTGGGGGCCTACGTTGTGTGCTTTTTGTTGCGGTTGTGGTGGGATTTTTGTTTGGTTAGTTGAATGGTTGTTTGGTTGTTTTTTGTTTGTTTGTTTTTTGTAAGTCTGTGGGTGGGCTCCCTAGTACTGGGGCTGAAAAAAAGAGAGGTTCCCCTTTAACACTCCCCTAAGTGTTAAAGAGTCAAAACCCCAGCAATTGATATGCATGGGAGGGGGAATGAAATCGCGCAAAGAAGGATCGCCCCAAGTTAGACCAACGACAGCCCCTATCCTGTACGCGGGGTCTCCCCAAGTTGGGGTGGGGCCTTTCTCCTTCCCGCACCGCCTCCCGGCTGCCAAGAGGGAGAAAGGGGTTAACTGGAGAAGGGGGTGCTCTTCCGCCCCCACGCCGTCTCCGCGCCTCGGCGTGGCCGCTGCTTTAGCGGCTCCCCGAGTTGCACTCCCTTGGGAGGGGGCCCCGGGTCCCCCCGTGTTCAACGGCAGGAGGATCCCGGGGCTCTCGCTGTCCCCAAGGCCCGGCGGGGGCTGCGGGAGCACTCACCAATTTAGGTTTGTTTTTCGTTTCCTCTTCGTTGGCGGCCCGGTTCCCCGCGCTCCGCTTGTTGCTTCGGCCCCCACCGGGTTCCTCGCCGCTGCCTCCCGCGCCCGACGCCGCCGCCGCCCCGGACTGCTCCATCTTTCTTCGGCCCTGTCACCTGTGCCCTGGAACCCCACTTATCCTTCACTGAGGAAGCCCCTCGGGGCGGTCTCGCTGCCCCGCGTGGATTCGGCAGCGCCTCTTCCTGGAGGGGGAGTGGGTCTGCCAATTTCACGTCCCCAGGGCTCCCGGCTCCCAGGCACCCCAGACTCGGCAAGCCGTTGCCACTACTCTGCGCTGGGGCAAGCCCTGCCCCCGAGCGGCTGCAATTACCACAGTCGCCGCCGCCCTCAGGGCGGTGTTTAGGGTGGAGGGAAAGTAGGTGCCTATCTCTTTAAGAGGGCCTCCGCACACGTGATTCATCAAAGTGCCCGCAGTCCGCCGCCCGGGCGCGGAAAGCTGCTTCCTACTCCCGCCGCCGGGCGGCCCGGCTACTGAGCATGCCCGGCACGGCGACGGCTGCCAAACCAGAGTGCTCGAAGCTGAGGTTAAGCACTGATTTCTTCCTAGGGGCCTAGCGTGAAATGGGAGGGAACTAGCCGAGAGAGAGGAGGCGTAGCCCATTTTAGAGACGGGGACACTGAGGCCTGGGAGGATTCACGTGTGAGTTTTCCCCGAGTCTCCGCTTCCACTCTTGTAGGCCAGAGCACCTTCCCCGGCTGGGGGTGTGGTTGTGCTCCACTCCGTGGGAGGGGTTGAGTGGCAAGACAGCTGGCACCCCGCAGGAGCACCGCCATGGGGAGCACTGATTAATTGCCTAGACAGACTGTACGGGTCACAGTGGAAGGAGTGGGTGTTTTCTGTTGCCATGATTGCGTTGACACCAAAGAAACACAGTCGTTCCTTTATTCCCAGGCTGTGGGGTGGGAGAAGCAGCAGACGCCCACAGCTTAATCCAGAGGGGGTGTAAGGCTCTTTAGGCAAAGCACCTATGGAGAGCTAACAGTTGGATTGAGTGCTATTTTCAGTGTTCCAAACTACTTTAGGTTTAGAGTTGTGGGGAGCATGTGTGTCAAAGCTTTGTTAAAAATGTAAATCTCTAGACAAATGCTAGGTAACTGAGCAGCAGCAGCCACAGGGCACCGCGGGTATTCTTCATCTTTCACCCTAGAGTTGTCAGGAAGAGGCCCACGCCTCTTTAAAAATAATGTTCACACTGAGAACAACCGCGGGACCTGGCAGAACTTGAATGAACCACCTTCATACAACCTAGAGAAGCTAGAAATGTAAATTTAGATCTCGTGTGCCTATAAACATGCCCATGTGCCTGTTATTCATATATCTTCAGACTCTGATCTTTTTGCCCTACGTCCCTTCAACCTAAACTCTGCTAATTTGTTTATGAACACATTTATTGAGAGTGTATTAGGATAAATTTGACCATGCTGTAGATGGGATGAGGCAATTAACTTGGAAAGTACAATAAAAGCAATGTTAGACATCTGAAAGCAGTCTTAGTGCTGGCTTTGCCATTGTCCTTAACTTGCTTTTTAATTATGCAGGTGGTAAACTACCCAAGGACAGCAGAGAAGAGGGGATACATGCTCCCACACAGGGTGGGCAAGGAGCCCTAAGGTAAATTTGTAGTTCCTGTTTGACTTAAAATTTGATGTGTATTCTGAATTTGACTCACTGCACACACATGTGCACACACACACATACATACTCACTCATGCATGATTTAAATTATGTAAATGTCCCCCTCCTGAAAAATGGCGTAGAAATGGATGCTGCAGTAAGATGTGACCTGGTTATCCACTGCTTTCAGGTAATTCCTGTTTGAGAAACGTGGATATGAGCCACTGCTGAGGGTCCTCCGGGCTCAAATGTTGCTTCGTAATCTGCTCAGTAGATCTTCATTGAGCTTCTTAGAGCAGGGATACCCAACCTCTGGGATCTAATGCCTGATGAGCTGAGGTGGAACTGAGGTAATAATAATAGAAATGAAGTGCATAATAAATGTCATGTGCTTGAATCATCCTGAAACATACACTGCCTCCAACCCAGTCTGTGGATAAATTGTCTTGCACAAAACCAGTCTCTGGTGCCTAAAAGGCTGGGGACTGCTGCCTTCAAGTATACCAGGTGATATCCAGAGTGCTGTGTGTTAGGAATATGAAGCTCGCAGTTTCTGCTTCTGCCCTTTAGAACTGCCTAGTCTCCTGGGAGAGACTGATCGTTAATGACTGCACTTCAACAGATAGGAACAGGGAGACCGTGGAGCACACAAAAGTACCAGAGGCTCTCGGACACCTTCCTAAAGAGGATGATGTTTGAACTGAGTCTTAAGGGTCGAATTAAAGTCACTAAGTATTTGGTGACAGCCTGCTAAACTTTGGATACCCTATTAGGCATTGTGGTGGTGAACAAGATGGTGAACAATATGGATGTGGTTTGCTCTTATGGAACTTTCTGGCTATTGGGAACGATATTAAACAAAAAAAAAAGTATTGAGCAAGTACAAGGTAAAAAAGGAAAGTGAAGAGCATCTCAGGCAAAGGAAATGACCATAGCATGTGCAGAGACTCTGTGGTTAAGAAATTGAAGACAACGGATGGAGGTTGCTCTTGGTAAGAGAAGAAGCAGAAGAGATAAGCAGCTTCCAGATCATGAAGGTCCCCACTTATAGATCTCATTGGTCTGGTTTTAAAAGCAGTGATGCTTGGTTGCTCAGTCATGTCCAGCTCTTTGTGACCCCATGGACTGTAGCTCGCCAGGCTCCTCTGTCCATGGGATTTTCCAGGCAAGAAGACTGGAGTGGGTTGCCATTTCCTCTTCCAGGGTAAAAGCGGTGAAGGCATTATAATACAAGTGACTCCTGTTTTTTGTGTGCAAATACTTGAAAATGGATCGACATTATTTTGAGTGTCAGGCTGGGTTGCACCATTCTCAGGCCAGGTGAAGCTACATTTGAAACCAAAGGAGACATGCATGTAAAAGGTACATAATCTGCACCACAAAAAATGAGAAAAATCTGTCCCTAAGATGACTTAACATTTGACCTTATTGTGTTTATCTCAGCCCTGTCTTCATTCTGGATGTTTCTTTTCAATATTTTGCTCCAGTTCATGTAAACAGTCATTACAAATAAAGAAACCCCCTTCTCTCAAACATCAGGGTCTCTCTAGAAAGCTAACACACAGAAGGAGCCACTGGTTCCCTGCAAGGATACTTTGTCCACTGATTATGAACCAGGCACTTTACCAAGTTCAGTCCTAGGACTGCTCCCACTGTATCTATGTTTCTTTATTTTTATCTTCCTGGGACACACAAATAGGCCAGTGGGTGAAAATACATCTTTTCTCTGATGCTGCAGAAAGAAGGAGGCTACTACCATCCGTTGGGACTCCAAAAGTGTGTGTTAGACCCCATGACCTTGTAGTGTCTCCTTCTAATCACTTATGAATTTAGCACCCAGTTAACATTAAAAGCCAGCCCTAGGAGAAATGAAAGATAAAAGGCTGCTAGGTTCTGTCTTTCTTCAAACTGATCTTAGAGTCATCCATTACCCCCAGAGGTTTCTGATGATCCTTATTAGTATCACTCTGGCTTTCTGTGTCTCCTTCCTGCTACGTGTTCTCATCTAAACAATCTGGACCGTTAATAGAGAAATTAAAGCTGACATAGATTAGATAAAAGTAAGAAATTGAAGGCAAAAGGAGAAGAGGGCGCAAAGGATGAGATGGTTAGGTAGCGTCACCAACTCAAGGGACATGAGTTTGAGCACACTCTGGGACATAATGAAGGACAGGGAAGCTGGGCATGCTGCAGTCCATGGAGTTGCAAAGAGTCAGACATGACTTAGTGACTGAACAACAATAAAAAAATCACTACCTCCAAGGTCATGGAAAAAATATTTATGAATTAAAGGTGGCCTGAGAATAAATAAGTACTTATTAAGCACATACTACATGGGTAACACCAACTAGAGGTCACATGAATAAAAAAAGGACCAGATGTTTTGCTCTCAAAGCACATGTGTCTTCCTGAGAAATCACCTTTTCTGCAAAATTGCACACTAAACATAACAGAATTTCTGGGGAAAACGTGGTTAAGGAAGATCACTTAGACTCAATGCAACTTTGTATGCAGAGCACTAATGAAAACACTAGCCATCCTAATAAAAACACTCAGGAGGTTGAATCTCCACTGGCATCTACACCCAGTGTCACAGTCATCAATGCTTTGTATCCTTTGTGCTTCCTCTTTCCCTGATGTGAATCCTCAAGGGCATTTACTTTTAATAGATGCCATTTTCTTCAGAATTAAAAATCTAATTGAAGAGTACCCAACTTTGTAGAAGATCCCCTGGAGGAGGGCACAGCAGCCCACTCCAGTATTCTTGCCTGGAGAATCCCATGGATAGAGGAGCCTGTTGGACTACAGTCCATAGGGTCTCAAGGAGTCAGACAGAACTGAAGTGACTGATCATGCATGTACAGCTTTGTACAGGGCTTCCCTGGTGGCTCAGATGGTAAAGAATCCACCTGCAGTGCCGGAGACCTGGGTTTGATCCCTGGGTCAGGAAGATCCCCTGGAGAAGGGAATGGCAACCCACTCCAGTATTCTTGCCTGGAGAATTCCAGGGACAGAGGAGACTCGTGGGCTACAGTCCATGGGGTCACAAAGAGTCAGACACAACTAAGCAACGAAACAACTTTGTAGAAACACATGATGAAAGGTCTTCACAGCTTCACCAACTAGTTAATGTAGTGGGCAACTTAGAGGTTGTTGAAACCACTAAACCAGTCACACAAAAGGGACAGAGTTTGGGGCAGAATTATTCTTTTATTTCTGAAAGCCTTCATATATCATGAAGGCTTCTCTTTAATTATGAGAAAGCTGGCTCCTGATCATGTTGAAACTTAAAGTGCTAAAACACTTCGCATGTGAACCAGCTCGCCTTCCACCTAATTTTAGTGACACCATTCTCCTATTGACCAATCACTAATGTGCTATTTGTGATACACAAACCCTTGTAATAGAACAGACTGTAAAATATATGTTCTTTGCCATCGATAGGTATAAAATCTGCTCGAGAAAACAAATAAGCGAAATGTGTAGAACTGTAAGAGAAAAGTGGCTGCATAATTCTGAGGTGAGAAAAAAAAAGAAAAATTGAAAGTCACTCAGTTGTGTTCAATTCTTAGTGAACCCATGGACTGTAGCCCCCAGGCTCCTCTGTCCATGGGATTTCCCAGGCAAGAACACTGGAGCGGGTAGCCATTCCCTTCTCCAGAGGATCTTCCCAAACCAGGGATCGAACCCAGGTCTCCTGCA